GAAAAGTGTCAAGAAACATCAGGCACTAAAAAGTGTAGTTATTTTGTAGCATAAAACAGAACAGAAATGCAATTTCTGTTTAATTCATTGGAGAAAAAAAACCACAACAAACAAACCACAGGTAGCAATCATACTTTTTTTTTTATGTACAGATTCTAATGAAATATTTGTGTCCTCTAGACTGCTTAGGATTCTGGGAGGAGGGTACTAAAAAAGCTTTTCTGATTAGATTTTGAGAGCTCCATGGAGAAAGAATCACACGTGTACCTAGTTGCTTCCTTCCATCAATGCTTCTGCCCTTCATAGCACTCTCTGCTTCTCTGCTGCCCATGCACACCTCAGGAAGAGATGGACCTCAAAGAGCCGTGACTCATGCCAGAACTGCCTTCACATGCTGAAAATGGAAAAGAGAAATTAAAAACCAAATTTTTTAAAGCTCTTCCAGGTGCTAGTTGGTCAGCAGCAATAACCATCACAACACAAACAATTTCCCAGGAATTAGAGGCTCAAGGTTGCCTTTCAGGCCACAGGCTCTTCACAGCTTGTTACTAACCTGCTGGAAATTTCCTGAATTACTACTGCTACTGCCTAATTGTTTCTATAGGTGAGTTTTGTTTATTTGACAGGCTCTTATTAAAGCTATATGCATGACAGGCTTATGAAACTGGGTAGGTGTTGCTTCTGGGCTAAAGCTTCTACTTTTTAACTCACTAAAAGTTAATTTGTGCATCTGAGTCATAAAGCCTCTTCAAATGGAAGTGTCAGAAAGAAGTTATTCCACATCCTTATGATCAAGTTTTCAAAAGAGGCCTTAGTTTAAGTCACATTGGGCCCCTGCACACAAGTCCAGGAAGAATGTACATATTACTTATGGGTGCTCCAGTTTACACCATAAGGAATACTACTAATTCTCTGGGCAGAATTGCAAGACTGCAAAAATGTAGTGATCCAAAGTTGTCCAATTTGGAGCAGTTACCCTGTCTGGTAATATTTGTCTTTCACTGAGACTGCCAATAGAATAGAGTTTAAAAAAGAAAAAAAAAGTCAGAATGGCCATATTTAACTGCATATCACAGCCAGCCTTGATGACAATAGTGTATTCTCATTAGTTATTCCCAGTTTCATTCAACAGCTCAATGTGCAGTATCAGCCAGAAGAAGTACCCAATTGTTGAGCATCATCAGGAAGGGAATTGAGAACAATGCAGAGAGCCTGGTTTTGCCAATGTGTAAAACCCAGGAGCACCCACATCCTGACTGAGGCTTTTCACTGCTCTCAGGACTGCAAGAGGGACAGAATGGACTGAGGGAAGGTACCGAGAAGGGCAGGTAAAGAAATGTGGGTGATTGTGCAGCTGTCTTATCAAGGGACCCTTAAAAAACTGAGAGTTTTCAGTTAGGAGAGGAGAAAGCTTCCTGGAAATAAGATGAATGAAAAACTTGTTCACTAAATCCAATTTAACAGTCATAATACAGTGCTTTTGTACATGGCACGTGTGACTGCATGTGAAATATGTAGTCACAGCAGGTTTTAAAGGCAAACAGTATGAGCAGTTCCAAAACTTCACGGACACATTCATGGACAGTAAACAGGGAGAAGGCAGAGATGAGTCTGTAATGTTTGGATGCTGGGAATGGTCCTCAGAGAGCAGTAGGGTTTGTTTCTCTTCCTGAACAGAATCTCCTAATGCCACTGCTGGAGACAGGCTACTGGGTTGGGTGGATTCATCACTGACTGGGCAAGTAGAGCATTCCTTGACTACTGTTTACAGCCAAAACAGTGCAAAGCATAAGGATACACCATACAAAGAAACAAATGTATTAGCATGTGGCCTGCTGCCTCAGTGAGACAGGTAACATGTAACAGGTTGTGTTACTATTGTCATTCACAAAGGAGGGAGGCTCTCTGCTGTGATATCGGACTAAGGTCTGAGATCTGCTCTGGCTTTGCTTTCCCTTGCAAGTCCTCAAATTCAGACATTATGGGACATCTGTGACCCACACAGAATTCCAAATTAACTTCTGTCCTGTCCACAGCCCTGGAGATATGGGAGCCCAAAGTGCTCTTTCTGGCTGACATTGGTCTGGCTCTTACTTACAGCACCTCAGACTTTCAAAGAGTCCTCCAGGCTTCCATGTACCATCAAACCCAGAGATGAGTCTTTTGGGAACAACTCTCAAGCAGATCTACAAGTGCCTTTAACACTACAACAGAGGAATTCTACACTAACCTCAGCAGCAGCTTTGGTGAAAAAAACAGTGAGTTGCCAAATGCCTCACCTGGTATCAATTTTTAAACTTCTGCCTCTGTCAAGGTCAGGATTGAAGCACTCAAGAAGTATTTCATGTTCAGACTCAGATAGTCCTACCATCATGCAGGAATGTTTCAAATGTTGGATGTGGCTCTAACCTGGTTTCTGCTGCTGCAAGCCCTCCACAGCCTGTAGCTGCAGGGGGTACTGGCTGGAGACTGCTGGGTGGTATTTTACCTCCTAAACAGTACCTTTTTATTTTTTTCATTACAAGAAATTAAAGGTGCATTGAGCTGCTAGCAGAGACATCTGTCAAATGGAGGGTAAAACAGGACATTCAAAGAAAACCTGTCACTTCTTACAAGAGAGAGGGAAGTTAACCTGACTTCTGGTCAGTCCAGGTTTGGGGTGGTTTTATTTTGACTGAGGGGGAGAAGATTTTTTTTTTTGCTGTGGGGGCCAGCAAAGAGAAGCTGAATTTTCTTTTTTTTTTTTTCCTTACAAACTTCCAAGAGGTCTTTAAAGTGCCATAGCTGAAAATGACTTTTGGAAGTGGGTAATGCCTTCAGTCTCTTAAGTTCACTCAGTGGCCAGCTTCCTTTGTGTGGGAAGGCAGGTGAGTGGGAGGATATATTTCACATAGTAATTGAAGGGAAAATATGCATTAAAACCACACAGACTAGCACACTCCAAAGCATTGAGTCAGCTGCCCTGGCAGCCACGAGGGCCAGTCGTGTCCTGGGATGCCTCAGGCTCAGCATCAGCAGCCTGTCAGGGGAGGTGAGGTTAAGTGAGGTGATTGTCCTGTTCTGCACTGGTGTGGCTGTGTGCAGTTTTGGGTGCTGGAGTATAACAAAGATAGAGAGGTATTAGAAAGCATCTAAAGAAGGGCTATGAAGGTGGCAGAGGGCCTGGAGGTGAAGCTGGATGAGGAGCAGCTGAGGTCACTTGGTCTGTTCAGCCTGGAGGAGACTGAGGGAGACCTCATTGCAGTTACAGATTCCTACTGAGGGGAAGAGGAGGGGCAGACTCTGATCTCAGTGGTGACAGTGACAGGACCCAAGGGAATGGCCTGAAGTTGAGTCAGGGTGCGTTTAGGTTGGATATCAGGAAAAGGGTCTTCACCTGGAACAGGTTCCCCATGGAGCAGCAAGCCTGACAAAATTTGGACAATGCACATGGTGTGATTTTGGGAGTTCTGCTCAGGGCCAGGAGCTGGATTTCTTGCGATCCGTGTGGGTCCCTTCCCACACAGCAGATGCATGATTATACAGCTCTTGAGCTACTTCTAGCATAACAGAATCTCTTTGTAAGTGATTGGAGTTCAAACAGACACCAGCCTTTTAAACAGGTGATCTGCTACACGGGAATGAATGGACTCTGTTCTACTAGGAAGGAAGTTGTGGTCCTATAGCCTGTCTCACCAATGCAAGGTCCCATGCAACCACTTGGTTTCAGCCAGGAGTAATGTCATGGGTTGCAAAGGGCTCTAGCACAATAAATACACTTAGAGTTTTACTCAGATTTGCAGAACAGGCAAGAGGAAAGCCCTGCTCAATATTACCTGCCATATTACCAAAGGCCACAACCATAGCTCAGCTGCCCCATACAGGAGCTAGAGCTCTGAGGTAGCATGGAGAGCCAGGAAGCAGTGACTGGCAGGATTCTGGGAAATACCAGAAGCTGGCAGAAACATTTTCCCTTCTCCATCTGCCAGGTTTTTTTTGTCCTTGTCTCCAAGCTCACGAAAGAAAGGCATAATTTTTTCTCAGCATATAAAGTTCCAGCAGAATCACTTTCAATTACTATTTAAGTCCCATAAATGACACCATATAATCCAAATGAAATAACACCAAGCTAAACTTGGTGCTACAAAACATTACAACAGCTGAGTCTGCCCTTGATAATGAGTGAAATCACCTGCCTCCTAGAAACCAGCAGGTGTGTGCATGACAGGCAACCTCTGTCAAGGGCATTAGAAAAGGGAGTGGCTGGATACCTTATGTTGTCCAGAAGCCCCATCTGCCATGATCTCCCACAACACACCCTGCCATCTTTAAGCACTGAAACTTTAAGAAACTTGTCAGAAAAAACATGGTTGTGACACCACTTGCAAGAATATCATTGCTTAAACAGGACCAAGGTTTCCACATCAGAGGATTGTCATTCCAGAGTCATAGATGACTGCTGAAATCCCAATGTGACAGATATCCATTAAAGAAGGAAAAATTTAAAAGGTTAAAAATTAAATCTACTGAAATTCTGTGACAAAATGGGTCAGCCTCCTTTTCCCTTTCTTCTGACATTACAAATTGTGGTGGGAGGGTGGAGCACAGTTTGAATGCTGGGCATTTATAATGTTCTGCTTATTAGCAAAACCCTACCCCTACTCCCCTTCTCCCCATAACATGGAGAAATGATGCAGAAATGCAGGTGTCTTCCAAATGTGATGCATGTCAACTACATCAGGAACTGGCTGCTTATGGACATCCTAGGAGAGCAATTAGCATCTTCAGGGCCATTTAACTTTGGGTCCATTGCAGAGATTGCCCCTAAAATATAGGCACATCATCTTGTGCTTGTTCAACAGATGGTACTGAAGCATGAACTATTTTCATGGCAATGTACATTTGGCAATATCATAAAAGTGGGAGAAGCAGTTTTCTGAGCAATAAAACTACTGGCTGGAATGCAACTGGCCTGTTTTACACAAAACCAGTATTTTCTGCACAAATGCCTGTTTTAAGGTAAACATCTCCTTTTTACAAAGGTATGCAAAAAATGACAGGAAGCAAAGAGGCAAAAAGGAAGAGGTGAGACTGCATCCCTGAAGTGCTTGTATCCATCACTGTACATCAGGAAGATATGTTAAGGCTTCTCTTGGTGGATATCAGGTCCTATTTACTGTGCTCAAATCGCTGTAGTTGAATTGGGATAGTTTCAAGCAGCTTGGCAGCAACCCTTAGCTTAAACAGCAAGATGGCAAGAAGGTTAGGAAGATATTTTCCTGGGAGGAAAACAAAATCTGACATCAAAAATTATCAGTTCACATCCTAGCTAGCATGGTTGAACTCCCTGGCTCTGAATTTGCATCCTTGCACTTGCAATTCTAATGCCTGGTGATGTGCTCTGATCTTTGTTGGTTTACTTGTCCTGTCTGACTGGAAATGGTGTTTTGGCAACAGCCTGCTATTTACTGTGGCACCACAGTCCTGAACATCCTTTAAGACATGCTGAGGCTTAGCTGGCCAGATCCTTGTGCTGGCCTTTCAACTCTCATTGAGAGCCAAGTGCCTAGCTTGATACATCCTTTTCAAAAATCCCAGGTTCTAGGTTTTGGTAACATTTTTTAAAACATCTGTTTTTAAAACTAACTCCTTTCCTTCTAGCACTTCAACCCAGTCAGTGCTGTACAGCCTTCTGATGGTAATGGGAAAAGCTTTCAAACAAATGTTCACTAAACTCTAGTAAGTGAAATAAAATATACATCAAATAATGAATTAAATAATTCCATTTCCCTGTGTTCTTCTTGCATAAGCATGATGCACCAACGCACTGCTTTTAGGATTATTAGTTTGTGTGTGCAATGCTTCCACCTGTCATTCCTCAGTGTAACAGGCTGTTCTGAACAGCACTTCTGTTCTCCAGGAAAACAAGAGTCCAAAGGGCAAGGAAGTCACATCCACAACTAACAGTCACCAAGGAAGGTAAAGATCCTTCTAAAAACTGTTGGATTAGATTCAATCTGCTTCAGTGGGCACTCACCAGCAACAATCCAAATTAATTTTCAGCTGAGAGCTTAAATGTTGGGTGAATAATCTGTCCTTTTAAAAGGGAAAACTTCCTTTTTCTGAAAGATCCTGAACTTTCCAGAGTGCATCGATACAGATATAAGCTGTTATAACAGCTTTAGAGGCTTATGAAAACAAGGAATCATTTGTCACTTTCTATACTTTACTCATTGCTGCAGAGCAGAATAACTCCAAAGCACACCTTGCAGAGGGGCAGTGACTCCATGGACTACGTTCTCTGACAGAGGTGATGTGGTTTTGCAATCTTTTAGTCCCCATAAGGGCTTGACTAAGGAGCTGTACCTGTCACCTCTGTTGCTAGTTAAGAGATTAAGCACATAACTCCAGGTAAATACTATATGTGCTTCTACAGCAGTAGACTTGCTCAAATTAACTGTGTCACTGCAAAGCTTCTTTTTGTGAGAAATAACAAATGGGAGAATGAAAATAGAGGGTGGGGGGAAAACAGATCTCAAGGGCATGGCAGAAAACTACTGCCTTATTTCTCCCTGGAACACATACCTCCATGTGATACCAAAGCAAGGAAATAAAGATTTGAAGCAGCTGATCAGAAATAAAAAAAAAAAAGCAAGGAAACATTGAAACTAGGGGTTTTTCTTGTTGAAGGAGCATTGCTGCTACTGCACTAAGCAGAGGCAGGACTCAGTGTGTAGCAGCAAGCACTGCAGGAGAGGCCATAAGCACGTTGCATGGCTTTTCTGTCAGACTACGCTGTCATCTTTGACAGAGCAGACAGTGCTGAGGCTTTCTGCCAGGACTAAGCTCTTCACTCTCAGTTACTGGCTTCTTTGTGCTAACGCACTCTAAGAGTGACACTCAATGACAGATAGAGGGGAAAAAAACCATTGTCGTGGGAATACTCACCAGGCCTGTCTAACACAGCGATGTGACCAGCCTCGCCTGGCTCCCAGGCAGGTGGGTGTCTTGTAGTTTCAAAGCACTGTGTCCTTCTGAATGATTTCTAATTCCTGTAGCTGAGGAAAGCAAGAGATAATGGAAGATGTGCTTATGCTTCTTAGTGGTTATCAGAAGGAATTATAATGGGGCATTTTCAAAATTAATTCATTTCCTATATCCAGCATACTTAATTAATCTGGGGAATAAAACTGATTAAGTTTCTCTTCCAGAAAGCATACTTTTTCTTCACCAGAACTTGATCTTGCTTTTACTATTAATATATGGCTTGGTGAGATAACTACAACCCAATTTAAATTATTTGTTGCAGCATCAATCTTACCTAGTTTATAAGCCAGTTCTGATTCTACAAGGGGTATGTATCTCCACGATGCAGCAAGTCTTTTTCTGAAGACAGATGATTCAAAATTAAAGTTAAAACCGTTAATATGTTGACCTGAGTAGCCAAGAGATTCTGATTAACTATCAAAATTTTATTTGCTGTTCTCCTCTGCTCAAGAGGTCCTCAAGTTTTAACTTGCCCTGGTCTAAAGATACAGAAAGATTAATCTTGATTGTTGTCTGCATGCTCATTAGAAGTTTTGATTTTCTAAACAAGCCTTATAGATAAGAGAAATAACTTAGATTTTTGTTTAGAGGATTAAAGATTTGATGGAGTAACTCCTTCCCTTTCATATATTAACTGACCTTTCAGATGTGTGTCACTGGAGCTTGGTGCTGGATAAAAGCATAGGCTGAGGAGGAAGTTAAGACAGGCATAGGCAAAAGAAAAACAAGAGCTTTAGCAGAGAAACAGAAGATGTGAGGAATTTATTTAGCAGTCAGTGGTGGTGCTATTCCTTTCTACAGGGTTGCTGCCAAGAAGATTCCCTAATTTGCCTCCCCTTGTGCCTCAGCCCTCGTTCCCTGGTCACAGAAGCCTATCATCCATGTCCTGTTACTTCTATAACTCATTTATCCACAAATGTGGGCCATGTTCCCTCTTGGTATCCCACTAGCTGCAGCACTTGCTCTGGCCATGTGAGCTTTACTGCCTCACCTAAGCTCTGCCATAAGAAGCTGGAACACAGCTGTTAGCCAACAGATAATCTTGCTCTCAGGAGGTCCTGCTGGTCCCCTGCCCTCCCCAGACATCAGTAGGTAGCCACAATGCATTCTCTAAGGGACACCCATTGACTAGTAAAGCTAGTAAAGAAGTAGCAGCAGCCAAAATGCAGTGCAAAGTCTGATCTTGCTGCCAGACAACTATAAATAATCTCAATTTCTCTGATTTAATTTCACTTTGCCTACAGCAGCACCACCTTTAACAGTGTGACTGCCAGCTTCATGACAGTGGTTTTTTTTCTTTGCGGAAGCTCTTGCATTTGCGTCACAAGCGGGAAATACTAAAAGATTTTATTTTAAATGAAATATGGTTGGATCCTGAATCATGACCCAAAAGCTCCCTAAAGGATCATAACCTAGAAGGTGGGAGGGGTGAGGCAAAAAACACATGATAAGTTCTTCTCGTGATCTTTGAACACCTGGCTGAGCCAGAAGGAAAGTCTGGGGTTTGAGGAGCTTTTGACACTTTAGCGGTCACAGACTTTCATTCAGTCCTTTGTCATCTTTAACTTGGGTTGCAAATCAACATTCAAGATGCATGAGGTGAAGAAGGAACACCTCGAACTCTTAAGTTCCTGCCACTGTTAAAGCTGTTCAGTGCCTGAAACACTGACCCTAAAAGCCTGGCCCGGCCAGACAGCGCTGTTTGGACAAGGAAAGTCTGCTCAGGTGCTTTTAATTACCAGGAAAATAGTTTTCCAGAAATAGCTTGCTGGCTGTTTGCCAGATCTATTTCTTCCGACAGGAAAAGCAAAATGTAAACATCCAGCACTTCATAACAGACCACAGAAACCCCTATCCAACTGGAGCAGGGATCTGGAAAGCCTGTGCTATCTTCTTGTCTCCTAACCCTGGGCTACCCCCTGGGCAGAGTTATCCCACCACTCACCTTAGCAGCTTGCCATGGGGACATTGAGGGAGCTCCCTCACGCTGCAGGAAATGTTGCAGTGCTGAGGAATCCACCGGCTCTTGGTACAGCAATGCTGCTTGGGAGAGCAGATCAAATAGGGAGCTACTGCCACACAAATGCTTATATAGCCCTTGGGTACTGCCAAAACAGACCAGTCCTACCCAGCTGCCTCTTAGTGGCAGAACTGTGCCCACCTGAAACTGATTGAGAAGAAGGTGTTATCTCATTTAGTCCTGTCTTTGGCATTTATTTATTTTTCAAACCCACTACTATGGCTGCTGTCAGCTTTTCCTGAACTTAGGAACTAATTTTTAGTTATGTGACACTCTGCCTACAGGTGATAGAGGTACAGTGGTACCTCATGGTATCTCATATGTTGCTATATCTCCAAAGGCAGCTCTTTAGGGAGTATTTCACTTTCCCTTTCCTTGATCTGTGCCTGGAAAGGTCTTATAGGAGGCAGACCCCTGGGAAAAGTATCTCCTGATAACTCTAAGCATATGGGGAGGAAACAAAGTGTATTTTCTAGCTTCTGTCACCTATGCACAACTCTCTGGCAGGAAGAAGATGAGACAGAGAATGTTACAGTGAATAAATAGAGCTTCACTCTTTGCAGTAGCTGCCAGGCAGCTCATGGCTCCAATTCTCCCTTTGCATCCTTGTTCCCTGCCGGCACAGCATCTGTGCTGAGTCTTTCAGCATTGAAAGTTCCTTATTTCTGGAGCCTTTAGCCAAAATACATGACAGGAGATACATTCTTATTAGTGCTCTAGTTTCTAATTTGGCAATTTTTGGAAGGCATCCAGAGGACATGTTAAAGGATGAGGAAATGCTGTGGTTGATTACTCAGATATTACTCTTAATTCCATTGATGCCTTGGGATTATCAGGAGCAAAGTTTCTTTGCTGGTAAGTGCTACACAAATATGTAGGATAACATTTGCAATACAGAGGTGATGGATAGAAGAGACACTGATAAGAGAAGTTGTGTAGGGATGGCACAGCAAGTGATTAAGGAGCTTGCCCAAGGTTGTAGAAAGAGATCATGTGAGAGCCAGAAACTGAGATGATGTCTGCTGAGTCATAAAACATGAGTTTACTCATCTGAATTTTTTCCCATTGCATAAATACCAAGGAACTCATCCGCCATATAACACACTCACAAGCTGCTTAAATGCAACTGAACTCAGAAAACAGAGGGTGGTTTCATGAGCTTAAAGAAAGGAAGACCTTCATCTCACAGAGGGTGAAAAAATAAATTATTTCTTTTCAGGGAAGGCATTGGCTGGGCAGTGTCACTATTGTGTTTGGTTCCAACAGGGAGATGACTCAGTAGTGCTGACACTGATGCTGCTGTTGGTCTCCCTTGCACATCTGACTTCCTTGCTTGGGGCAGTTTTGGCAAATGCACCCATCCTCCACAGGTCTCCAGCCCATTTAAAGTCTCCACAACCATTCCCATTCAACCATTCAAATTCTCCAGAGCCACAGTCAGGTCAGGAGGGAGCTGTGTGAAATCACTGCTGTCTGCTACATGTACAGAGCCAGGGGAGGCTTCCAGCTCAATGAAGTCCTTGCAATTTACAGTAAAGAGAGGCTGGAGGAGGGTGTCAGGAGGGAATTGTGTTGCAGAGCACTGCAGATGAAATTGGGAATTTCTCCTCTGGAGACCAGTCGTGAAAAAAACAACAAAGCATCATCTTGCTTCCTCTTCACAAGAGGTCAGGCAAGGCAGAGACCTGGCGTCAGCCAGATGAAATTAGTAAGAATTAGCAAAAAATTCAGTGTCCATAAGTAACCTTGATAAAAGTTAAGACCCTTATATGGCACCAAATAATGCAAAGGAGGGCTTCCCAAGAGGACTTTGGGAACATCAGCACTGTGCCATGGGCAAACAAACAGCTAATTCAGTCACTAAAAAGATCTGATGCTTTCTGGGGAGGCTCTGGGAACTGAAGAGGTGGTGTGACACAGGGTGGTAAAGTATGAATCAAAGTTGGAGCAGAGGTTTCCAATGTGCAGGAAAAAAGCTCCAGCTGGTCAGAGTCTGACTCTTTGCCCTGTCAGCCTTTGATCTGGCAGAGTTCTCTCAGCTCCTTCTTTAACTTGCATCATTTAACCAATTTGTTGAAGACAATGTGGCTGCATCTGGGATTGAGTGTAACACACAAAAGAAATGCTCTACTGCACTGCTGTCTTGAAGTGCTTCCCAAAAACACAGGAATGAGCCTCTCTGGCATTGCCTACACTAGAGTTTTGCTCAACATTTCCCACCAGTCCACATCAGCTGTCATGGAGAGGCAGCAACAGTGTGGACTCATGAGCAAAGCAGAATTTGAATTTGCATATTAAAAGTCTGAGTCCATGAGAAAAAGATTTTCAGAAGGCTTAGCTAGCATTGCTTTTCCCATTCTAGAAAGAAAATCTGTACCTCAGAATCTACATATAAGTTTCTAGAAAAGTAATTTGACTTTCAAAGTAGCATCTGCTCTCATCTCCAGTGGGACTTGCACACATCCAGGACTTATGAAAAAGCAATATATTCTTCTGCAGGAGGACAAACCTAAACATTTATTAATATAGCTTTAGTACATCCACATTTGCAACGTGTCGACCTTCCTTTAAAATACTATTTTGCTAACTGATTTTTCTCATTATCTAGAAGTTGTTCATGCAGTGCTGTTTAATAGGTTGGGTGTGAAAGAGGTCACACCCAAATTGTGAAATTGGGTGAATTCACACTCCATAGGTTGAGTGTAAAAATGAAGGCTATGTTAAAGCAAACCTCAAACAAAGAAAATTACTGAAAATTTTGGTCTGTTTGGGTGGTTCCTGCAATTTGTCTTTTTGTAAAATGGCTTCTTGCCTGAGGAAAAATTTAAATGCTCTTAGTTTTTGAATATTGTCCAATGAAAATTTCTGAAGGTTATTTTTTTCCATTTGAGAACAGAAACATGTCTGCTCCATGGTCCCCTGCCCACAGCTGTTAAAAGATATGTAAAAGCACAGAAATGAGCCCAACCCAAAACAGTATTTATTAAACTTCCCCCTTCCTCTTATTTTGCAATAACAGTTCAGGAACATGCACAGTTAACTTTTCATCATGAAAACTATTCTCATCTAAGTTGCTAATACACCCATAGAACTGATAAGCTAAGAATATTTCCTGATTTTTTTATTATTTCCACTATTTATTTCCATGCCAAGCAGAAGCATGTTCTCTACCCACTTTGAAATTCATACTCAAAGATACATTACCTGTGGAAAGGCAGACTTTAGGAGGTTCTTTTTCTTCTTTATTTTTGTTCTATCTAATGTTTTTACAGAAAGATCTTCAAGATTCTGATCACTCAGAGTGCTCTGAAAGGACTTCTATTAGTAACAAAAAGGACTTAGAGGCCAAGGCAGTACATAAACAAAAAATTTCTTCTTTTAACATCAGGATCCCTGAACAAAGGGATCTATTGTTCTTCTGAGCTATAATGCAGAGCACTCAGCTTTCTGTACATTGCCTTCAAAAGCTGTTCTAACTTCCTGGCATCTAAAATGATGCCAGACTGACTTCATAAGGCACCCTAAAAATGGTTGATCTCTTGTGAAAACAGGAAATTTCCTGGCTATTCTTATTTCTCCCATAAATATTACTAATATTCCCTTTTGATAGGTAGCTAAGAAAATTCTGTATTATCTTGCTCGGGTAGCTTTTACTGAAGCAGCATTCTGCAGGTTCTTACTACATCAGAACACTTTGGTAGTGGCAGGAAGAGGATTTTGAGCACAGACACCCACAGCACTTATCACAGGACCCCGAGAGGACCTCTGTGAGTGGGAGCTCTCTTTCTGCTCAACTCTGCTGCTCCTGGGTCTCATGAGCCTTGCTGGTGTTGGCCTTGCTGGAGTGAACTGTCCCCCACTGACTCCCTGCATTTGAGCACAAAGCCCCCCAGCCTTGCCATCCCAGGGACTGTGGTGTGACATTTCAGGGCTGTGTTACTCGGATTTCACAGGTTTGGTAGGACTGGCCACGCTGGGTCTCAACCAGGTGACAGCTCTGCTGCTGTGGCAGGTGCTGGTGTTCTGCAGGAAGTGAGGCTGAGAGATGACATCAGACCTCCTGTTAGCCTGATATGCTCTAAATTACAATGGCAGCAGCAGCACCCTTGGGAAGAAAAGGAAAAGAGAATAACACCATGCTAAAGATGTAGTAGTGCTTTCCCAGAGTCTTGCCAGCAAGTTTTCTGCAGCATCCAATCTGCAGCTCAGGGTGTGAAAATATAGGAGTTTGTAGTACATCTACGTGGTTAGACCCTGCCATTGACACTTTTCTGTGTGAAAGAACACAATTCAACAAGATGCAAAATACAGATGTTTCTTTCTTCAAAAGTTAAATCAGACTTTTAAATACCAGAATCATTTGATTTCAGCCTGGGAATTTTTTAGACAAGAAGCTAAAGAGCAAAAAAGAGGGAACTAACCGCCCTGCCCTGATCTCAAATTCCCTTGTCTACATCTCACTCATTTGACTCTGCTGGGCTGAATTGGTACCAATAATATGGTAAACTGCAAACTGGGTGAGGTTATGCCAATAGTACAGGCAGCCATTCTGTCTTAGCAAAACCATTTTCAGAGGAACAAGAGGAAGGACTAGGGAGACCTTTGTAAAGTGCACAGCTATATCAGTGCTTTTATGGCTTGGTTACTGGAAGCCCTACACATGTTTCAGTTGATAAGGCAATCACAAGGTTTTCATTCTCATCTGAATAAGAATATTTAATCTTTGCAGGATAAAGTCCCATGTGCTAAATTAAATTTCCTGCCAGCTCAGCAAACAGTTTTGCTACTTTGAACTGCATTGTGCATGATTTCCTTTCATCACAGGATGCATTCTGTCTTGAGCATCAACAGCCAAGAGGGAAAAGCCCAGTCTGCTCCAGCAGAAGCATGAACATGCTGTGGTATTCAGAGCTGCCATGCACCAGCAGGCAGCTGGGGTGGGATGCAGGTGACAAAGCAGAGGTACCTGTAATGGGGACGAGTCTGTCTGAATGAGTCACTTTAACTGTCCTTGAAGAAAAAAGGCTAC